CGCCGGCCACTACTACCACAACGACCTGCCCCTCCTCGTCGTCATCCTCTTCGTCTGCCCCGTCCGCTGTGTTTCCTTCGCAAGTGCAGTCAGCGAATGCGGCGTCTGCCACAGCGACAACAATGCGTTCCCCCCTCTCTGCTGTCGGCATCCAACAAGTTGCTGCACCCACCGATTCGATCGCGGCCACTCAACAACAACAACAGCAGCAACAACAGCTGCACTATCAACATCAACTACAGCTTCACCACCAGCAATTGCAGTTGCAGCACCAGCAGCATTTGGCTCGGCAGCAACAACATTTGCATGCTCAATTACAGAGCCAGCCCCAACAACAACAGCAACAACAAACGCTGCAATTAGGGGCGGTGGGTGAAACTGCATCTGTATCTAAACCAGACTCCTCCCTTCCCAATGCCTCCTCCAGTGAAGTTAAAACATCTTTTACTCAACCAATGACTGCAACCACAGCACCGTCCTCAACCATACCTTCCGGTGCTTTTTCCTCTGCACCTTCCGCCACTTCAATGCCCCAGCAGAATGGTATTTCTACGGTTACCTCGGCTTCCACGGCTGGGAATAAGGTGGATAACTCGTCCATGGGGATGCTCAGCCTTCTGCCTCAGATCCCCGAGGGTCTCCTACTGAAGCTGGACCCCTCTCTGGTGGACTCCAGCCAACAGAGCGGGATGCCAGACATTTCCGAGGTCAAACCCTACCAGTGTGACCAATGTCTGAAACGCTATTCTGGAATAAAGTCCCTGAAGAACCACAAACTAACCCACTCCGATATTAAGCCTCACAAATGCTCCTTCTGCAGCAAGGCTTTTCTGCGCGCCGACAAGATGCGCATGCACGAGATTTCCCACCTGAACGTAAAGCCCTTTGAATGTGCCACTTGCAAGCAGCGGTTTACGCGGTCCGACAAACTGAAGATTCATCACCGCACGCACACTGGCGTTCGACCCTATGCCTGCACTTTTTGTCCGAAGCGCTTCACCCGCTCAGACAAGCTCAAAATTCACGAACGCATCCATACAAAAATCAAGCCGTATGAGTGTGGTCATTGTGGGAAATGTTTTGCTCGTTCCGACAAGCGTCGTCTCCATGAACGTACTCACATATACGGCCCCCGTCCGAGGACTAATGGTGTTCGTAAGTCTAAGTCGGCCGCGGCCAATGCCGCCGCATCCTCCGCCGCCCTTGGTACTACCTCTGCGCTGGTAGATAGTCTGCCTGTCTCGGGGCTTGGTTTCCTTACGGCTGTTTCCTCCGCCGCCTCTTGTCTGGATTTGAAAGATGTCTACAAAAACTCCGCATC